ATTTTATTTTTGTGCATCTTGGTATGATTTTATTTAAATGTCTTTGCAAAAGGTTCATTTTTCTTGGAAATGTAGTATCATAAGTTGAACTAAATTCAGAAATTTTAAATCTTAAAAAAAATGCTTGAAACTATTGTTTGAAGCAAGGTACAATTCCCCTATGATGAATGCTATCACTATGTATATATAAAATGTACCAATAAAAAATTCAAGGAAAAATAAATAAATAAATAAGTAAATTGAAGATACATCTTGTAGTTATTTTTCTCATCACTGAGATACACAATACCCACCAAATTTTTTTTTTATTTCACAGTTTGTAAAGTTTCAGTCCATAGTCTGCTGGCTCCAAGGCAGGACTACGTGGCAGAGGGAAAAATTGTCCAGGCACTTGAGGCAAGAAATAGCAAGTAGCAGCCAGTCTTCTTTCTCCATTTTCATTCCATCCAGGCTATAAACCTATTGGTTGGTGCCACTTACAAGCTGGGTGGCTCTTCTGTCTTTAGTAAATCCATTCAGCCACACCCAGAGCTATGTGAATCCAATCAGCAGACTAATCCAGATATGAGACACCCTTAATCCCAGCATCACACACACCCTGGATCCAGCCACCTCCCTAAAGCTCCACCTCTGAGCACGAGGCTTTGGAGGTCATTTGAACACAAACTATAACAGTGCAGGTTCAACACGGCTAGAGTAGCCTAAGGTCAGCATTTCTAACAAATGTCCTGGTTCTCCCCACTCCGCTTGGCCAATGGTCACACTTTAGCAAGACTCAAACGAAGGTATTTCCCAAGATTCTGTCCCTTTCTGTCACTGTATCACTGTGGGGCTGACACTTTCTCACTTTTTTTTTCTCAGTCCTCTCTCCTAAATTTTAAAATCTTTATTTCTGATTTCTCAGGGTCTATATCTATGTAACTGTCTTGAAAACCCTTCAAACCCTTAAAATGCTCAAATCTAAATTGATAACCATCTCCAAAAGGTGCTCTTTCTCTCTTCTGTTCTACTTTTTGTTTCTTGTAATTATAAACTCAGAACTGATTGCTATTTTTCTTTCTACTCCCAACAGATCAATTACAGCAGCTGACGAATTCTTCATATTCTTCCAGTATGTCATCTCTCAACTACGTCCATTTAAATTAGGTAGTCACAAAGAAAAAGCTCTACCTTCCCTCAAATATTTATATCTAGAAAACTCAAAATACTAAATTAAATACAATTTAACCAACTTGCCGTGTGTGGATCACTCTCCTTTGTTTCTGCTACGTCTCAACATACCCTAGAGCCTCTGCTCTTTCTGGAACATAGCTTTCTTTGGCCTTCAGATAAGTCTTCATGCATGCTGTGAAACCCTCCCCACTTCCTTCAGAGTCAATTCCCTTGCTTTCTTCCTGTGCCTTTTCAGATCCCTGTGATGGACGCTAGAGGTTCTTTGACTGTCTCCGCAGAACTTTTTATTTATGCACGGCACTTACTGCGGTCTTTTACTATGAAAGTGTTTATGTTTGTTGTATTTCTTATTCTGAGTGCACAGAGAAAGTCAACTCTCCTTAAGCCCGCAGCATCTTACCTACGGGGAGCGTTCAAGATGATGGATCAGAGTGGCTTAGGAAGCTGGCGCCACGCAGTGCAACCAGACTTGAAAGCCGGTCCAGCGGGGTCCAGCTCTGCACCAGTTGCCTTTTGCTGGAGGGGTTTGGGTTCCTCACTTTGCTTTGCTTGTAAAATGAACTAGTGCCACCGACTGAGTAGGAAGACAGCAGGACACCGCTGCCTGACTGCAGAGTGCTGAACAGTTACTCTCCCGGGAGACCGGGCGCAGTACCCTCCCGACTTCACGAACTGGAGGTCGCCCTTGAGTTGCGGGGAACCTGGCCACCCTATCGCAGGGCAGTCTCCACGCTAGAGCGCTTCACGGGCCAGGTGAACCCCACGCGCCGCGGGGGTGTGGCCTTGGAACTCTAGTTTCCCGCCGGGCCTCCCTCCTTCCACCCGCTCCCGGAGAGGCCCTTCTCTTCCCGTGACCCCGAGGCCCGCGGCGCCGCCGCCTACGTGAGCCGTTTGGACCCTGCCCGGCCCCCGTAGCTCCGGTCTTCAGCAGGTGGTTCTGGTCTTCTCTCCAACTCTGGGCGTCACGTAACCCGCGCGCCTCCACGCAGCGCCGGCGCCGCGACCCACCGGGAAAATAAACAAACCCCGCGCAGCGGCGAGCGCCAGGCCCCGCCCCGGCCGCCTGCCCTCCCCGCCCCCG